CCCTCTCTCATCTCTACACCCACGCCATGAACCAACAGAAACTCTCTTTCCAGGCCGGTGAACGACACGCTCTCGTGAGACCCCTCCTCTCCTACTCCGACCTTTCGTGTTTTTTCCCCTAATTTTTTATTTTTTTTCGGTTTCGATTAAATGGGATTTGCGCACGCGCGCACCTTGAACGAAAGCACGGTCCTTTTGTTTTAATTATTGTTTATTGTGTTAGGGTTACCATGAACGATATCAGATTTTGATTTAATTCGTGATTTCTGTCTGAAGTTGTTTGAGCACTGGTCCGATTTCCAATTTGTTTGTTTCTCCGAGAAACTAGAGATTGCTGTTTGTTTTGTTTGGACTTTGGATGCGTTGATAGGAATCTGGTTCTTTGTTTCGTTCTTGTGTGATTAATGCTGCTTTCGTCTCGTCCTGACAGGAGAAATTGTACCAGTGGATTCTCAGGCAGCAGCAAGAAGGGTCTAGGGTGACCACGATTGATATTGTTACCCATTTGCAGGTTTTTATTTTTATGTTTATGCAATGTTTTTTGCTCTGTTGTGTGTTGTGTTTGCCTTTTGTTTCAATGGAAATACTCGTTTTATTAGTTTTTCTACCACCCGACTGGTTTTAAGGATATTTCGTGTACTCTATCTGTTCGTATAGCTTGTGGATCCCATGTCAATTGCCTCTAGTGTGAAATTTCCATCCACTGCATTTATGGATTCACATACAACTATTGACGGATTGACTTGACTTTAGGTATATATTTTCACATGTTTATTTCTACATTCAAGACTTGATTCTTGCTCCCCAGATTATGGACCGCAGGATATGGCAAAAGGCCAACATTCCACCATATAAACACACTATGGCTGCTTATCGCCCTCCCCTATGGTGGAGAGGTTTATGCCACATTATGTTATAACTTTTAGTTAACACCGTTGTTATCTCCAACATTGTATTTGAGTTCAAGTAACTCTTTAAGTGGCTATTGCATTTGATCAAGAATGTTGTAGGGAGTTTTACTAGTAGTCATTTGACCAAAAAATCCAAAATAATCCTCTTCAATTTGTAATTAATTTTGTAAAGCTAATTTCATTTAAGTTAACTTGCAAATGTTCACCTTAAAACTATTTTAAGGGACATGATCCCTGAAGTCTTGATTTTAGAATCTTAAAGCTCTTTTGATACCGGTCTCTAAGTAGAAATAGAGATTCACCTCAATAATCTATTGTAATCTTTAATAGAAAACTTTTGTTACAAGAATTACTTGTATTTAATTTTGTTATGATTGGAAAATAACATGCAACACTTAGAAACTACATCTTATAAGGACAATCCCTAAAAAGGACTCATGGATATATCAGAAAACGTTTATACTTATGATTTGTCTGGACAAGGAATACAATGACTGTCTGTCTGCCCTTTATACTGCCCCAATGTTTTGTTCGTGTAAGAGTTGGGTCTTTGGCTGTGTCTCAATCAGATCTTGCTTGTTGGATTACAGATAGAGCGTGAAAAGTAAAGTCTTTATCTTTTCCATTTCACTTGAACCGGAATTTCCTTCGTATTTTTTACAATGGTGTTATTTCAGGATATCCATCAAAATAGATGAGTCCATTTTTTGGATTTATCTGAATAAAGGAATATAGATATAATGATGTGCGTTGCGTGTGCTTGTAGAATGAGCTCGAATATGGGGGAGAGGAGGCACCAGTGTCCCCAAGGCAGCCAATGCATCAACAGAACTCCCAGACTGCAATGCACGCTAACTTTGGTGGCAGCACACCGTCTAATGCATTTGGAGCGACTGTGGCAGGGCAGGGGATACGAGCTGGGCAACCTGATCAACAAGCAAAGAACTCAGTGTTCTCAAATGCACTCTCTAGCCCTATTCGTCGCAGCCTTCAGCCATATCATCTGGCTCAGGGGAGCTTTCCTTCAGGTAATATCATGTCATCAGGAACTGGAAATGGAACCCGGAACAGTGAGATGACTTATCCTAATGGCCAGAACAGGGACTCAAATCCTTCTAACTCTAGTGATTGCATGGACATGCATTCAGATAGTCCTGGTCATGATTTTTCATACTAGTGCTGTCATAGTTAGAATAGGGAGAGAAAAAGAGGTCATTTATGAAATTGATGATCATAAATGTGTGGTGAAAAATGTCAAATTTATTGTGGATAGACTTCAATTTATTTGTGTAGCATTGTCGTCCAGGTTGAAGCTTGAACATCAGCTTACATGTTAAAACAGATCGTCTTGAAAAATGTTGGTTATTTCCCAAGCAATATATAGTCATACCAGTGTGTGATGTTTGCATGCGATTTTTGCTAAGTTTATTGATATGTGTATGTATAATGTTTGTGTTATGTAAATTATACTTGAAGATCTTGTGGGGTTCTTTTGTTGCATATGATAAATTAGATGTAAAAATAAGATAATATCGTGATAGGATAAAATAATATTTGGTGCACACACTGTATATAATAAGAACTAGATGATAACGGATTGTGGTAATTTTAATGGTAGTAATTGTGACCATACTACTAGCCATAGGAACAAGATGGTAATGATAACTAATGATAATGGTAATCAGGAAAAAATGATAGTGGTATTAACAATGATGACGAAGATAATTCTAAAATAGTAATATAAAAGTAATGAAGATGATAGTGCTTATGATGAAAATGTCGTCGAAATAATATTAAGATGAAAGTGATCATGATGACAGGAGATGTTATACTATGGAATGATATGGATGTAATGGAAGAGAAAGTGATGACACGATAATTAAAGGGAATTATACTTTGTCAACTTATCAAATGATTTTTTTCACAAAACAACCATTATATTTCATTATGATTTTAATTTAGTAGATTTTGGTAATCAAATGGGGTTTGTAAGTTAACCATAGAGGTTTGAAGTGATGTGTATCTAGTGAAGTTTTTATCAAAATCTTTCAAATAAGGTCAATTTTTTAAGGTGCACATTCATTATGCTTTGATTTTATTGTTTTTCTTTCTTTTAAAACGTTTTGATTTAAAAGTAAAACAAAAAATAATTACAATTTTGACTGGTTATCAATCCATTGCATATTATGAAATTAAGATCTCATATTAAAATACATTTCCACTAAATCCTAACGGTTAATTTTATCAAATCCTATTGTTTATAATAGTTCACGAAAAAATACCCCGCAAATTGATCTTAACCATTAGGTTTTATAAAATGAATTGTCAACATTTGATCAGTCTTTGGACTTATACCGTTAGGTTATGAGCAAATATTAATATTATTTCATCAATTCAAATATTAAATAAAATATCTATTATATAATAAAGCGTCAACAAACTCTTATTAACATAATATTTTATTTTGTTATATTCTTTAAAAAGGATAATGTGGGACAAGTCCATTTAGGATGATAATTGATATAATGTTTTATTTTGTTATATTGTTTAGGAATGATAATGTGGAATAAGTCCGTGTTTAAGGATGGTAATGTGGGACAAATTATGTTATATGGATTAATTCAAAAAGAAAAAAGTACGAGATAGATTAAGTATTTGGTCCAGGTCCATGTAACTTTCATATTTTTGTGAATTTGTATTTAAATGTGTCCATGGTTTATAATATGTTTACTTATACAAGTATTGTGTGGATTTGTTATTAATTTTATTTTCAAAAGGTTTTTTCATCTATTTTTAGTTATGTTTGACAACTTTAATTATTTGAAATTTAATTTTTGTTATTGTTTTAATTATATATATCTATTATAAAATTATAAAACTTTGAATGTTATTTACTTAAAAATTATGTTTACAAAATTTATTATCTTATTAAATTAATCAAATTAAAAATAAGGTTATCGAAATTCTACATCATAATATATTATATTACATGTTATAACTAAGACAAAAAAATATATATATATATATGAAGCGGGTATTTTCTTATGGAACGGCCCGATCCAGCCGAACCCGCCTTTGCGGACCAAATTTGGGGTGACACAAATCGAGATGGCGTAAACCATATTGTCATCCCTTTTATTGATATTCCCAAACAAGCTCCAACATTAAAATTTATAAATGTCATAAACCCAGGCTAATTTCCTACATTAAAATTTATAAATATGATACGAATGAATGTGATTATTTTTCTGATCTCGTAATTGATGCACATTATTTTTGTTGGAAATTGTTTTGAAGGGGTATAATATTGTTTGTTATTAAAGAGAGTTTTATTAAGAAGCATGCTATTATTTAAAAAAAAAAATTAAAATATTCTTTAGTTATCGTCCTCTATTCTCAGTCTTCCTGTGTGGAAGACAGTATCGGTGGTGTCCAACTTAAAAACAAAATCGAAAGAACTTAAAATATTAATAATATATATTGTTAACATATTATTTTAAACATATTTTTATTACTATTTAAATATTAGCAGAAAATGAAGAAAAATAAATAAATTTTACTTCTAAAAACGGTTCGTCTAATGTTTTCTTGAACCGGTTTGATAATAAACGGTTCAGGCAATTAAAAAATAGTTCCGTTAGAAGCTGTTATTTTGCAATAATATCCTTTACATACTTTCCTTTTCGCTTATAAGAAAACACTTTCTAATAAGTAATCAAATTTTATTTATTTTTATTTCATCTAACGAAATTTTTAATAAAATACCTTAATTACTTTTCATTACAGGACATTTTGTTTTATGATAAATATATTTTGAGAAAAATATTAACAGCTTAGTAAAATTTATTATAGATACTATTTTTTAATATATAGCAACTTACAACCTGAGTGATGTTCAACCAGGTTACCAAAATACACGAGAGAAAGTAAAAAAGAGAATGAGTAAGGAGGGCAACATATCTTAACTTCATAGAAAAATATATATAAGGTAAAATTAGTTTCAATGGTCATTATGTAGATTGCCAAAGTCACATAAATTATTTTCCTTTTTGATCTAATATAAAGTGTTGTTAGATATATAAAGTATGTCTTCATCTAACAATTGTTAGGTTGTGTGGCAAATCTCTTCTCCTTATTTTTGTCTTTTTGACATCTTTGATTTTTTCTAAGTTAAATGTAAGTTTTCTGAAGCAATATGGAACCCTGCTATAGCCATTCATAAGCTTTTCTTCTTACTACCCTTTTCTTCTTTTATGACTTAAAATGAATTCATTATCATCATTATCATTATCTTCTTCTTCTTCTTCTTCATCATCATCATCACTTTCGACAATTTTTTTCTTAGCTTTTATGTCACCATTCTTGGATGCCTGTTGTTGCTTCTGGGAAGTTTCAGTTTTAGTTTCTGGCTTTGATGGCTTAACTGGAGCTGCTGCCCGTAGCTCCTTTTGTTTCCTTTGCTTCTTCTCAAATGCTCTCTTAGCACTTTCTGGAGACAGCATACCATGTTCCATTAACCTGCACACATTCCAGGATATAAGCCTTAGTTTGTAATTTTTGAGAAGTTCTACTCTACACCTTGAAATAAATTATAATGCATAAATATTCAATGTTAATTGACCGCTTTGATTAAAGAAAATATTATCTATGGGAAACATTGATCAAAGGTTGCAACAAAACACTTCTTGACAACGATAGACAATAATTGAAACACAACAATTGTAGACTTGTTGTTACACAACTATTATGATAAGTTGGGTTTGTATTATTTGGATCATTATTAATCTATTTCTTGAATCTGCATTTGTAGCATATATGGTACCAGCATCAACTGGAGAATCTGACAAACCAAAAAGTACAAGGAATGTTGCTGAGGCAATAGAATTCTCTGACAAACCAGAAAACAGGACAGTATTCAGCTATAAGAAATGTAGCTTAACGAATTTAAAGCATATTTCAAGTTTTAAATTGGCAATATCATGCATCCGATGATGCTTCATGAAAATGAAAGTCAGATAAACAACTGTAAGATCGAAAGAATGCTCACCAAAATTCAGCCATTTCGCTTGTTGGAATCTGTTTTGACAATGATTCATAGAAAACCCGCAGCGGTTCTTTCTGTTAACAAAGGCAATAACAAATCACAAAGATGAGCTATAGTTTATTACAATGTTTTGACATTTGTTTTGTAATTCTAGAAATTCAATGTACGGGCTCAAACCTGTTCGGGAGGATCATGTTTCTGCCCGTGAAGAGTGTAGACTTTCTTCTGTCTCACTTTTATAGTTGTCTTCGTTCTTGTCTCTGAAGACGACGAAGTCGATTTGGATTTAACCTTCAAACATTTCCCAGAAAAGAAAAAATACAACTTAAACAAACAATCATCGTAATCAAATTGAATGTAATCAAATCATCGTAATCAAATTGAGCTCAACACCTTGAAAACCCACCTGACAAATTCAGAATTTCACACATATTGAAAGCATTTATCAATGCAATGCAACAACATCACAGGTACCCAGAATGTTCTTAAACCATAAAACAACTTAAAAGCTCAAACTTTCACATTGTAAATGTTGAAGAGTGATTGGAACCTCAGATTTTGTCGAGGCAGATTCTACTCTCTTCTTGACAGCTGAAGAATCCTTTTTTCCCTTGGAAGAACCATCTGGGGCACTCGATTTGGGCTTCACAGTGCTGTTTTTTATTTCTGTGGCCATGAACAATTATCTAAATTTAGATTAGACGAGATCGTTTCCTTTTTACCTTTCTCAATCTCATTCACTGTTACACAATTTCATCGCCATTTGTCTTTCTTCATGAGTATTTTTCTTCTCTTGAAACATGCCGAGGATGATAAAAAAAAAACATTTCAGGTTGTTTGTTTAACTGCCATGCTCCTACTGAGGAACAGAAGATGTCCCTTTCGCTAAGGTGGTGGAAGTAGAAGTATGTGATTGTATCCCTGAATGAAAAGACTTTTATACCCTTCCAATAGGGGTTTGGGAGTTATGTTATATCATCTTGGGAAAGGAACATTTTAATAATTTCAAATATTTGTTATAAAACTGCTATTTAATTTTGTTTTTTACTTTTTCTACTTGTGTTGATCCAAATTTTTGTAAACTAAAAAGTTATTATTTACCTAATTACACCGAAAAGTTTGTTTTACTCATCTCAAATGCATGATATGGTGGTACATTTGAGAAGTTAAATAACAATAAATAAAACTTAAAGAATTTACAAAAATATAGTAAATAATAAAAATAATTTATTTCATATCACTTCAAAATGTATACAAACTCATTCGTATCACCAGAGATTCCATTATTAGACAAATTACCATGAATTTGATTTATTTATTATGAATATTTTCTTATCTTAATACATAAAGAATATAAACATAACGGATAACGAGTATTTAGTTTCTTGTATAATTTACTTTTTTTATATAAACACAAAAAGCATAATTAGCATTAGGTAAACCTTTGGAATGAAGAAAATATTAATATCTTGAAATTTATGAATTATTTTATGTATATTAATATATGATGTGATATGAAAATATATTTAATAACTATATTCACAATGAAATTATCAGAGTTTATTATATATATTGATATGTTCAACTTTGCATTTTGAAACTAAATTTATTACAAAATAAAAAATTTAATTTATTATTGTTGTCTCTTAATATGAGATTATAAAATTAATTATTTATCTTTTGGTTGCTACTTTCTCATATCCAGAATAGTTAATTTAAATTATTTGTTTTGGAGAAAAATATTTGTTTCACAATGATTTCTTGTATAAGTATTTTTAAGAAAATAAGTGTTTAAGTTAAAATAGATTAATATATATGAACTAAACTGTATAAATTCTTTTATATAATTTATAATTAATACATAAACTATTTTTGACTTTTTGAAATAAATCTAAACCATTTTTACATAATAGTAATTTTGAAATGATAAAAAGTGATTTTGGATTCTACATTTTAGAGTTGTTTCTATCACTCTTGGAAATAGCAGAGAAAGAAAATATTGATATTTGGGGAGGTACAAAAAACAATTTATGGGGTGCAGCAAAGACTGACTTCATTTATTTGAGGCCTATACTTTTAGGCCTAGAAGAGAAAACGTAAACGGGAAGTAAACTATAGATATATCCAAAAAAAAAAAAAAATCTGTGTTTATTTTCTTTTGGTTCCCTCCCTTATCAATGTTTTAACATTGATTCATTCCCGCGCACACAGTTTCAGTTCTTGTTCCTTCTTTTTTCCTGTAATTTCCTTCAGTTATTCTTAGCTTCTTTGTTTGTTTCTTCTCGAAGGTTCTAAGCCCAAACCTTTCTTAGACTATTGAATTTAACTTCGCTGCATCAAATTTATCATTTAATCTGTTAATAGTGTTTTCTGTGTTCATTGCTGCATCTCTGCATGTATTCCTCTCCTTAACCTTTTTTTTCTCACTCAATTACTTTCTTTGATGATGGTTGTTTTCGCTGATCTGACAACCTTTTAATATGGTTTTCTTACATGCATGCTGGAATGCTTGTTATTTTTGTAATTTGTATTGCCTTGTAATTGAATTAGGGTTTGTTGATAGTATGAAGTTGCGATGATAGTGTGAGGGTTCTTATGGTTTTCTTTGTGATCCAAGGCTCAATTAGGACTGTGTGATTAACTCTTGGATCTTGTTTGTCTTGAAATTTTGTCTTCCTTAGCTTCTGTTGAGCGTGACAGGTCCGATGATTGGTTAGTTGGTTATGATGAATTTCATTTGCAATTCCTATTTTAGTGTCAGCCTGAATTTTGAATCTGTTTTATTAATTTGAAGGTGATACAATGTCTGCATAGTTAATTATACATGTACGTTATATTTGATTCTAACATGGAAAGTAAGAAATTTCTCTAGGGCGATTATGTATGTGAACTTTGGGTACAGGAGTGCAATCTGATAACATGTCAGGATCAGTATCCTCTGACTTAAATTAATGTTATCTGTTTGGTTTTGTGACGTCAGAATAGTGGGTACTGAAAGCAAGCCTGAATGATTTTTGTTTTATGAATTTTATGGTAATACTTGATTTCACTATTCTTGAGTCATTGAATCTCTTCATCTAAATTGTTGTTTCAGTGCCTTCTCTTTGTTTTTTGCCAATATTTGCTGTTTTGACAACGAGGATTATTTTCATTACCATCGGTTTTGGGAGGGTTCAGCTATGATGAAAAAGGGTAGGTCACAAGAAAGCAAAGTTGCAAAGGCTTCTGCAAAGTCCAATCTAAAGACAGGATCCATTCGAGTGAGAAATTCTCCTAAGAGAACAAATAAGTTGGACCTCAAAGCAAGAGGTGATGCATTTTTGTTTTGGTTTCATATTTTCGTCCCTCTTAATGCACTGGGTTTGCTGTGCTAGAAGAAATGAACATTTTATTTTCTTGGACGTGGGGACACTATTCAATTTCATAGAAATGTTCAGTTGTCACTATCTTGTTCATTTTGTTTAACAGTTAAATATTTTACTTTTTAGGATGCAGTGAAGAGTTGTTGAATGATAAAGAGAATCGACATTTTGTGTTTAAGGAACCTATGAGTACGTGCTCAGAACTTCTGAACAAAAATATCTTTATCACAGAAAATAGAGGGTCTATCGAACTTCATCCTGGAGGAATGCTCACTTCCTCAAAAATAAAGTTACAACTTTTCCCAATTAATGAAGGAACTCGCATAGGACTTGAAAAGGTCAATGGGTGATTTGTGTAACATTTTGGCAGATTTGGATATAATTTATGTCTGTCGTAGTCTACATGCAGCAGGTCTTGATGCTTCAATTATTTTTCTTTTTAGGATGGGCATAATCCTTATTTGGAACTCACACTTCGAGGTCGAAAGAAAATATCTTCAATATTAAAACACCTTGGAAAGAAGTGGGGAAGTTCAAGTATAGCCGAAGGGGAGCTTATACTTTTCCCATATGATGTTATGGAAACTCTATCTGACTGCAGAAGATGGACCATTTATGACAGTGGTACAACTGCCTCTGCTGTTTATGCTGCTGTAGGAAGCCCTGCAATTTTTCGGTTGAAGTATTATCTCTGATCATCTTCTATCTCATGTTTCCTATTTTTATGTGGGAATTAGGTTGTTTATAATTATTGTGTTACTTGTTCTCTCTCTAAGGTATGGCTGGTTCTATGCACACGAACCCAGATCTTCTGGTATACCTTCAACACCAACTCTCGATAAGCCTGTTGTAGCTGGAGGCGCCTCTGCTAAATTAGAGGAAACTTTATGTGGTGAACAGGACATGGTTGAGGTGAGCAAAGAATACAGAGAAACTGATGTGGGCATTGCGGTAAGTGAAACTGTGGCTCAGAAAGTAGGAAATGCAGCTGTTGATCCTATGAAAAGCTGAGTTCGATATTTTGCTGTGCATTATAATAACTTGTTGATAGTTATATACGTCGTACACAATTTTATTGCAGGAGATATGGGTTTTATGGTTGATCTGGTTTACAAATTTTCGTTTTATGTGTGATTCAAAGAGCATCAAAATGGTTTTTATGATAGTTTGCTTTATTCAATCATAAGTATTGGAAAAGTTTTGGAACGTGGTATAAAAATTTATAAAATCACTTGGTCACTTTTCGTGCATATGTAATTCCTAGTTTTGAAACTTGATAGGATGCTTTTGAAATCCATGGTTGGTTGGTCCTGAATTTAAAATGAATTTTGAAAGCCAATCATCTGACATTTTTAATATGTTCTTTTGTTTTAATAGAAGCCTATTTTCCATTGCATTTCACCATAAATATTTGTTTTCTAAAATATAAATGTTTGTTCTAAACTAGGATAATGAACCAAGAGTAAGTAGTGGTCTTCAACAGTCATCATCTCCATGGCTTGATAGTCTAAGCAATATAAGCATTGGGGCCTTCCTCTCTGAAACATCATTGTTTGGTGGGCTTGATCCAAAATCATTTGCTGGCATACAGCCGTGTGATGTAACTTCTGATTCATTGGATGCTTTTATTGCCGCCAAAATCAATAATCGTCCAGTTTCAAGACTATCCGCTGAAGACTTGCGCCCATCCATATTGGATGCTGAAGAAACATGTCATGCATTTCCTCTTCAGAAATTATCTTCCCCAACAGATGTGCTGACAAGTCGTAGAAAGGATTATTCAGTGGCATGCAGTCCGGATGTTGATTCAAACTTGTTAAAGTTGTCTAATGCAGAAAAGGTCAGTTATCCGTCACTGAAATGTGAAATAGTTTCATGTAGCTCTCGTGTCTGATGCAAAAGCTACCATTTTCGTAAGATAACCCACAAAACAAGTTGTTTAATTTTTTAAAATCTTTTTTTGGGAGACAGGTCACAAGATAGGTAATAGTTTTTTTATTTTTTGGGAGCTTTTGACCAATTTAAATAACTGACTTCGAAATAAAGGAATTTATAACAGCCCCTGAATTTTATGAGTAACTTTGAAATAAAAGATGCTTTTGAGGAGGCAATGTATATCATGATATATTTTATGGCAGCTTCATAAATACGTAGTATTAGCAGGGCTTATATGAACATAATTTGCAGTTTCAAGTGAACCTAAGGCTTCACAAAAACTTGTTTTGCTAATAAAGTAACTTCAAATGTTGCATTGGGTCTGGGATGGAAATTGAACTTCAAATTGACGTGGGAATGAGATTATGTTTCTATAGCAGACTATTTGGAGTCGTAAAGATGCTTCGTTGTCCATCATTACTCATTGTATCTCGTGGTTTTGTTAAGGTCAATGATCAAGATGAACCTTCACCAAATCCTCCATCTGGGAA